TTCCTATACACATTAAATTTGAACTTTCTAGTGACTCTATGAATCATAATGTCCAAAAACGGAAGAGTACCATTCTCCTCAGTCTCACAAGTGAATTTTATTGAAGGTACCAAAGAATTGAGTTCATTAAGAAAAACTATCTGGTCTTTGTTGCACGGCCATAAGCACAAAATATCATCAACATACCTAAACCAAACTACATTAGCCGGGATAATCCTGGATAAGATTTTTGTTTCAAAGAATTCCATATACAAATTGCTTAAAACTGGGGACAGGGGATTGCCCATCGCCATACCAAATGTTTGTTTGAAAAATTTTCCATTAAAACTAAAATAATTGTCTTTTATACACAATTTAATAAGTTCCAATACTTTATTGGTCTGCAAGCTCAAATTATATTTAGGCAGTTCCTCACGTAGAAATTCTAACAGATCATCAACAGGAACTTTAGTGAATAAAGAGGTCACATCGAAACTTATAAGTTTAAAATCAAAATTTAAATTCAGTGTGGATAGCTTATTAACTAAGTCCACATTGTTTGTCAAGTGTGAGTTGGAAATAGTACCAACTATAGGGGACAAAACTTTGACTAACCACTTAGAGAGTTTATAAGCCGCCGAACCAATTGAACTAATAATCGGCCTTGCCGGATTATATGGCTTATGAGTTTTTATAAGACCATACATGTAAGGAAGAGAGGGGGATCGACTTGTTAGCCTAGATATCAACTCTTTATCGCCTTTACACACAGTTTTAAGAGTTTTGTTAAAATGTGCAATCACTTTTTCAGTAGGATCTCTGTTAACCAATAGATAAGTATCCCTGTCTTCCAAGAGTAACTCCATTTTTCGGACATAGTCATCTTTATTCATAATAACTACTGCATTTGACTTATCAGCCTTGGTAATATGTAATGAACTATCTTTTTTGAGATTTTTGAACGCATGAACAAATCGACTTGGACAATTAGGAACAGAATTGTTAAGTAAAACGCCATACATCATACCTTTGCACACATTAATATCTTCAACTGAGACATTGCTATTCTTTTCAATATTTCCAAAGGTTTCAGCAATCTTGAAAAGTATAGCAATGTCTCAGTTGAAGATATTAATGTGTGGAAAGGTATGATGTATGGCGTTTTACTTAACAATTCTGTTCCTAATTGTCCAAGTCGATTTGTTCATGCGTTCAAAAATCTCAAAAAAGATAGTTCATTACATATTACCAAGGCTGATAAGTCAAATGCAGTAGTTATTATGAATAAAGATGACTATGTCCGAAAAATGGAGTTACTCTTGGAAGACAGGGATACTTATCTATTGGTTAACAGAGATCCTACTGAAAAAGTGATTGCACATTTTAACAAAACTCTTAAAACTGTGTGTAAAGGCGATAAAGAGTTGATATCTAGGCTAACAAGTCGATCCCCCTCTCTTCCTTACATGTATGGTCTTATAAAAACTCATAAGCCATATAATCCGGCAAGGCCGATTATTAGTTCAATTGGTTCGGCGGCTTATAAACTCTCTAAGTGGTTAGTCAAAGTTTTGTCCCCTATAGTTGGTACTATTTCCAACTCACACTTGACAAACAATGTGGACTTAGTTAATAAGCTATCCACACTGAATTTAAATTTTGATTTTAAACTTATTAGTTTCGATGTGACCTCTTTATTCACTAAAGTTCCTGTTGATGATCTGTTAGAATTTCTACGTGAGGAACTGCCTAAATATAATTTGAGCTTGCAGACCAATAAAGTATTGGAACTTATTAAATTGTGTATAAAAGACAATTATTTTAGTTTTAATGGAAAATTTTTCAAACAAACATTTGGTATGGCGATGGGCAATCCCCTGTCCCCAGTTTTAAGCAATTTGTATATGGAATTCTTTGAAACAAAAATCTTATCCAGGATTATCCCGGCTAATGTAGTTTGGTTTAGGTATGTTGATGATATTTTGTGCTTATGGCCGTGCAACAAAGACCAGATAGTTTTTCTTAATGAACTCAATTCTTTGGTACCTTCAATAAAATTCACTTGTGAGACTGAGGAGAATGGTACTCTTCCGTTTTTGGACATTATGATTCATAGAGTCACTAGAAAGTTCAAATTTAATGTGTATAGGAAACCTACCAACGTGGGGTCGTATGTTCATTTTTATTCGAATCATCATAGTAAAGTTAAACAGGCAGTATTTTCAGGAATGTTTCTACGAGCTTTGAGGGTTTGCAGCCCTGAGTTTTTTGATGAAGAGATTGCTAAAATATATGAAATTGGGAAGAGTTTACAATATCCTAAGAGGTTTTTGGATTGCTCGTTTGTACAAGCCAAACGTACGTTTTATAATCACGTCCCTAAGGCGAAACCAAAAATTATTAACTCATTGGTGGTACCTTATGCGAGTGGACTTGAAAAATTGTCTCTGATTTTTAAGAAACTTAATATAAATTTGGTGTTCACTAATACGACGATCAAATCCAATTTAATAAAAAACTCCCCTGATACAGCAGGTTGTGTGTATTCGATTCCCTGCAATGATTGTGATTCTGTGTACCTTGGACAAACAGGAAAGTCCTTACAATTGCGGTTGTCACAACATGGTTATAGTATTAGAACTGCCCAAACGTCTAATGCATTGTATCTACATACGAGTTTATGCGATCACAATATTAACTGGAATGGGGCAAAAAGCATTACCAATTGTGGGGATTTCGTGGAACGGAATTTGATTGAGTCTGCTCTAATCAGTCAGTGTCCAAATCTTCTTAATGTTAGTACTGGTATGTACAAACTTGATCCATTTTTAAGTTATAATATTGCACAACGGTTTAAGAAACAACTCTGATAGAGAGGCTTACAATGTCTCATTATAATTGTATATTCATATATTGTGTGTTCATGAGGCTTTTCTTTAATCTTTCATCCTTATTCTCTGACCGCTTAATCCTCTTTGACCATTTTAAGCTAAGCTATACCTGTTTTTGGTTAATTCTTTCCCTAGGGATGGGTTGGTCTGGTGTCGGCCTATATATCCACCCCCTTCCCTTCTCCTTAAGTCAGTCTGGTGTTGACAAAGGATTTAGCGGGCCGAAACGTTCACCTCATTTCATATTTCTCTGTGGATTTTCCGCATATATATATATATATATATATATATATATATATATATATATATATATATATATATATATATATATATATATATATATATATATATATATATATATATATATATATATATATATATATACATATAGGTTAGGTTACAAACCTTTATCAAATTAATTGCCCAGAATAAATTAACCACAGCATCTTCTAACCTTGCTCAACCAGACGTTTAACTGCCTTTAATTAGTTTACCAACATTTTCTCGAACAGAGGATGAAAGTTAGGATGACTTCTGGAATAAATTTGTTGACTCAGTGGATTCTAAAACCACTATTCTTAAAACTACCAAATTCACATACTTACAAGGTCAGATAAAGGGAGAAGCTTTAAAGGTAATCTCCAATTTAACAGTGAAAGCTATGATGATAGCAGTTCAGCTCCTTAAGAGTAATTACGTTGACACAGCGAGAGCTTTTACCAACCTAGTCCAAAAATTGTTGGACTTATCATCCACAGATAGTTAATCTGACTCACTTCAAACTTTTAGATTGGAGCTTGATTCCTTACTTAAGGCATTAAGTCTTATGGTTAACCTAAAGGGTACTGAGTGGTTAACCAAAGTTATTGTAAGACTCAAGTTGCCCAGTGAAACACGGCAAGTTGTGTGCCTTGCATAACAAAACGTCTTTGAATGTAACAGAGATCACTAAAGGTTTATGCTCTGTTGTTGAAAGACAATGAACAAATAATGAAGGTAAAACAATCTCTAAACCTTCAATTAACACTCATCATAAATTACTGGGTACAGCAAGTTCTTCAGTAAAACATAAGTCTAAAACATCTACTTCCACTTCAAAACAGAGGAATGGCAGAGTAGGTGCATATACAGTAAGTCCCTCCAAACCTGTAGTCACTGTGTCACCCAAAGCTGTGACTCCTAAGACTACTATGGGATGGAGAGACTGTTTGTTCTGTCAAGGAGAACATTCAATTTATAAATGCCAAACTTACCCGTCTGGAATAAAGCATCTTAAGGAGTTGCATAAATGCACCCGATGCTTGAAACTACATGACCCCAATACCCAACCCTACTACACACATGCAACAGGTGCCATAAGGGCCCAGCACCATATGGTACTGTGTGGGGGACACTAGACCTAGGTCGCCCAAACCCCAGGTGGAACGAGAAACTTCCATCACACAACAGTAAGTTAGGAAGCGACAGGAAGTTAATATACTTACCACCAAATCTGATAACTATGCAACATTACACACAACTTTACATGGTAATGCAACATTACGTACTACCCAATTGCTCCTAACTGATAAAAGATCTAAGATCACTACTCGTGGTCTATTCGATCAGAAAACGGCATATTCGGTCACAGAAAACGTTTATCACACAGAATGTGGCAAACACTTTAAGACTCAAAACCTTATGTAAAGTAAAATTGAACATCTCAGGGTTCCTAACAAGTACAGGACCTCCTAGAATATAAAGTAGTAAGAACTCTGGTACATCTAGGAGGTTATGCCCGCCCCGTGCAGGCTATAGTGGTAGATAAAATCCCATCTGACCTATATGTTCATGGTCTACGGAACACAACCAAACTCCTTCATAGTAAAGGAGTTAGGTTTGCTGACTATAAGATTAAGTCTGATCACCTCACCGATATCGGTATGCTTGTGGGGGGCAGACTATTATTATAAATTTATTACTGGTTGCACTAAACAACAGGGAATGAACCTGTTACTGTCCTCAGGAGGCAAAGTGTTCTCTGGCCCAGTATTGAGTCAGAGACAGCTCAAACAGGAGGACAGCCAAGAAGTCAATTCAATAATGGTTGCGTGACTAGGCCTAGAGCAGTCACTACTCAAGTTCGGAAACATGTCCGGGGATGAAATTGATCCAACCGTACATAAATTATGGGATCTAGACACCTTAGGCATCGTCCCTGAACAACCCAGTCCTGATGATACCTGGACCTACCAACAATATCTAGATTCCGTTATCTATAAAAAAAAATGTCAGTACTGGATCAGATTACCATGAACTTAAACCATCAGTAACTGCCTGTGAACCATTTTATGGTACTGAGTCAATTAAAATCTCAGGTATCACGCTTAAATAAACAGCCTGACAAATTAAAATTGTACTACAAGTTAATACAACAACAACAACTTGACAATAAGTTCATTGAGATCGTCAAGAATGATAACCCTAAGGAGGGAAATTATTTGCCCCATCACACCATTCTGAAGGATTCAGTTACCACACCTATCAGGATTGTGTTTAACTGCAGTGCTAAGGCAAAGGTAAATGATACCTTGCTGAATGACTGCCTTCAAACTGACCTGAGTCTGACTCAAAGACTCTTTAATGTGCTGTTACGGTTCCACATCGAGACTTATGCCTACACTTCTGACATAAGGAAGGCATTCCTTAGGTTAGGTCTCCAAGAGGAAGACCAAAACCAAACAAAGTTTCTCTGGATTAAGGATCCTAATGATCCACATAGTGAAATCTTCACATTCAGATTTGCCTCAGTCTTGTTTGAGGCTACTTCTCCGTTTCTGCTTTATGTAACATTAGATACGCATTTGAAGAAGCCCCTTCGCCCTCACAAGACTGAGATTAGCAAAAATCTGTATGTGTATAATTTCCAGGGGACTTTCAGTGACGATTTTAAGCTAATAGAAATGTATCACTAGGCTAATCACAAACTGTTAGGAGCCAATATGCCTCTCGAGTCGTGGGCCTCTAATAATCATCAGTTGAATCAGTATACAGAAAGTGAATTCCCCAAATACAAAGTGCCTCAAATGATGAAGGTACTTGGTGTGGAATGGGACACCACCTCTGATGAATTAATCATAAAATCAGTTTTAACAAATACCATTTGTCTAACAATGAGGAAACTATTATCTTTAGTCAGTAAACCATTTGACCCTTTGGGACTAGTAAGCCCCATCTCAATTAAGGGCAAACGCCTCATGCAGGAGTGCTGGCGAAACAAATTAGGTTGGGATGATCTGTTGCCAATGACTTGCAGGAAAGGTGGCAGCAGTTGACAACAGATCAAAGTATCCTAAGCAACCTTAAGTTCTCTCACAATACTATTAGCCCTAATCAACTTATCATGCTGCATGTGTTCTGTGATGCTTCAGGAAAGGTATATGGCACTGTAGCCTATCTAGTGACCAATGAGCAGGCCACACTGCTCACATCTAAAGCTAGAGTGGCACCGTTTAAGAAACGGTCATTGACACAAATGGAATTGACAGCTTTATTAATAGGAGTTCGCTTGGCTCATTGCCTGACCACTAAGTAATCTCCACTTCACTAAGACAGTGGTGTGGTCAGATAATGAGGCAGTCCTGCAATGGGTAAGAAATAACCATAACAAAACCCCTTGCGTGAATAATCGTGTAGGAAAATAAGAGAGTTGTCAGAAGGGTACAAGCTAAGACATGTGCCCATAAAGGAAAATCCAGTTGACTACCTTTCAAGAGTATTGACATTAAGGCAATTAGCCAAAGCAGAGATGTGGTTCAATGGTCCCTATTGGCTAATCAGTGGCCAGTGGCCTGAACAAAAGCCACAAGTCTTAGTGGCCAATGTCACTGTTCCCACTGAGACACCAGAACCCCCTCGGACCTTGGCTATTGATAATAGTCAATACTCTAGATTAGGCAAACTACTAAGGGTAATGCAAACAGAATTTGATTTTTTTAATTGAGTCGTGATCCAAACCAATTCCCTAGTCCACCTAAATATTGTGACAATCAAGCCCAGACTGAAACTTATGGGAGAGACTATGGAAACCTCCCCAATAAATTGGTGAAATCTTTGGGTCTCTGGTTCGACTCAGATAGCTACAGAATCTTTGGGTGTGGGGGGACGTCTACAACACGCAAATATAGACTTGGATGTGAAAAATTCCAGGTTTCTCTGACTCTCATGACTCTCTGTTTATTAATGTTCCCCTAGAGGCCTTAGATCAAAATATGCAATAAATGAAAACTGGTTTTATTTCAATTAAACTTTTTTGACGAGTTGTATATAAACAGTATTTCATCTGGTCCAAGTTTCAGCATCGTAGCATAAACAGGAAGAGAGAAAAAAAAAATATTGAATTATGTGTCAAAAATTTTCGAAAATGGTCAAAAACGATTATCTAACACAGGTGTCAACTGAAATCATGTCTATGACTCTCAGCTATCACAATAGCATATATTAAAAATATATATATAATTAGTTTTTGTCTTCCTCCTCAGCATCAGATGACCTGGTTAAGGAAATTCTACCTGACACCCTGAGTGATGTAGCGGGGATACAGGACCCCCACTACATGGAATGCGACACGAAATGGGGTGCCATGGCAGACCCAGCACTCAGACCAGCCATGCCGAAAGCCAAGAAACAATCCAGTTGGGACAGCCCCATTGTAGACAAAGAAGCCACAGCTTTGCTGGAGGCAGCAACAACCCCCAGTGATCGTGCACGCCTCACAGCTGTGCAGGCTCCCCATGCAGGGGACTTCCTTTTGGCAGTCCCTATGTCTGCGACAGGCACACGTCTTGATCCGCAGGAGCTCCGTATTGCAGTCGCTCTCCGTCTTGCTGCCCCTATCCACACTGTTCATTGGTGTATTTGCGGCGAGGCAGATGCTGACGAATATGGATTGCATGGCCTGCACTGTGGAAAATCTGGTGGTTGGCACACTAGACACGACGAAGTCAATGACATCATTAAAAGAAGCCTTGCCTCTGCTCAGTGTCCAGCGGAGAGAGAGCCCCGCAACCTACTGAACCGTGACTCTGTTAGCTTTGCCGGCCGACCAGATGGAATCACACTGCGTCCGTGGAAGGGTGGCAGACAGTTGGCATGGGACTATACTTGTGTATCCACCCTGGCAACCACATACATCAACCTCTCTGCCGGCACAGCAGGAGCCGCGGCGACACGCAGAGAAAGAGACAAGTCAGCCAAGTACAGGCAATTAGATCACCGGTACAACTTCGTTCCAATAGGGTCTGAGACCCTAGGCCCATGGGGAGAGAGTGCAAGAAGGTTTCTTAAGGATCTTGGTTCCAAGCTCATTGACACCACAAGAGACCCTAGAGCAGCAAGTTTTCTCTTTCAGCGCCTCAGTGTCGCGATCCAGAGGGGGAATGCTCGCTGCATCCTCGGTTCCTGCCCGGCGTCGGAGGAGTTCGAGGAAATCTACAGCCTTTAGGAAGCGAACTTTTTTTTGTGTCCTCTTAATGTTAATTTTTTGTATAAAATCAGATATGTAACTGTATGACCTTGCATAATAAAGTGTACACCATAAAAAAAAGGGGTGGTAGGAGAAGCGAACACTCACGTATTCAGAGTTAAATGGCAAGTTTTTCCCTGAATGCTCTGTGTTCCCTTCTCTGAGGCTGTGGGTCCCTATAATTGCACCAGAGGTGGTACCCCACTTTTTATTAGTTTTATTAAAAAAAATAAGTTAAAAGCAATTTTTTTTTTTTTCAATTCTATTTTTCATATTTGTTTATCGGATGATTTGCATGAAACTTATACACCTGACTGCACGTAAACCTATCTGTAAGGGTGCCAATTTTGGAGGAAATTGGTTAATGTCAACCTCAGCCACAGATGGCAGCACCTTAGACTCTAATTTTTTTTTTTTTTTCAAGTAACATAAACGAGTTGGTACTCTTTCATTTTTATTCAGTTTACATGAAACTTGCACCTTATATGTAAAGTTTATGTCTCTGAAATCTGTAGGTAGCGTTTTTTCCTAAGTTCATTTATTGATTTTATAATAGCAATAAACATGATATATTTGCATAATTTTTGGAGGGAACTTTGACTATTTGTATTAGGAAAACTAAAGGTGTTTTGGAAAATCCCCTCCTACAGATCCTTTTTTATATGTTAATGTGTCAGAAAAGTGTCATAAAATGATTACATCTGAAAAGGTAAAAGGTTTTAACTCACTTGAAAATGTAATATTCGTTGAAAAAAATTAAATCTCCCCTCCTATTTAGTTGCAGTACTGAAACATGGAACAATTGCAGTCCTTTTCATATACAACTAGCAAAAAAAATATTGGTTGACATTAAACTTCCAACTCCCCACTGACGTCTTCATCGAACTCATTAGACTCTGTGTTGACTCTAACTCCTTCTCTTTCAACGGTCAAAACTTCTCTCAAACTTTTGGTGGCACTATGGGTTCCCCTCTCTCCCCTATTCTTGCCAATCTCTGCATAGAATCTTTCGAAACTGTTCTTCTTCCCACTATTGATTCTCGTCCCTCTCTCTGGCTTCGCTATGTTGATGACAATTGGGCTTTATGGCCTCATGACCTCTTTATGGCCTCTGGCTTCTCTTTCTCTGTCTACCGCACATCTATGCACAGTGACATGTACATTCACTTCATTTATTACCATCCTCCTTCTGTTAAGAAAAGTGTCCTCGTCTCTCTCTTCCTCTGCGATCTACGCATCAGCAACCCTCAGTTTCTTGATTCTGAAATATTCTTTATTTACAAATCTTTCTCTCGCCTTGGTTACCCTCCTTACAGTTTATCAACTGCGCTTATTCTCAAGCTAAACAAAATTTCTTTCATCCCAAACCTATATTCAACACTAGTACCACTGTGCTCTGGCTTCACTTCATATCTGAACTCAAAAATCTTACTAATACCATTCGTACTCTTACAATAAAGCTGCCTTTCGACAAACTAACACAGTAGTAATCAGGTTCACACTGCTCCTCCTGCTTCTAATGCTGCTGGTGTCTATTCTATTTCCTGCTCGTCTTGTTCTCTCCAATACTTTGGTGAAACTGGTCGCACACTTAATGACAGAGTTAAGGAACACAAGAAGTTTTAAGTCTCTCCGACACAAACAATGCTCTCTTCTGCCATGTCAGGGATTCTAATCATCGTATTGATTGATCTTCTTCTAAATTAATCTTTCATGCCTCTACTCTACACAGACGCAGTCATGTCGAATCGGCTCTGATACACATATACCCAACATGAACCTTAGCCCTGGTTTTGTTGCTGTTGACTCTTCCTTTTCACATTATATACTGAAATGCTTTAAACTTTCTAACAACCGTAATCTAACATAAGCCTTCCGCTCAATTTTTTTCTTTTTCGTCTTTTTCTTTTATCATCTATTTCGTTCCATTTACACCTATTATTACCCTTTCATACCCATTTTTACCGCTATCTTTCACTTTACTTTTACCTTCCTCTAAGTTTTCCTCCTGCTCACCTCTCTCGCCTTACGCCCGTGCCTCCCTCGTCTCATCACAGTCAACATTGGTAATGGTCCAGGACGGACCGATACGTCGTCGTCGCCTCATCTTCTTGTGTGTGGTTTGGTCACTATACCAACTGGTGTATGGTGGTCACTATACCAACTGGTGTATGGTGGACACTATAACAATTGGTGTATGGTGGTCACTATACCAACAGTTGTATGGTGGTCACTATACCAACTGGTGTATGGTGGTCACTATACCAACTGGTGTATGGTGGTCACTATACCAACAGTTGTATGGTGGTCACTATACCAACAGTTGCATGGTGGTCACTATACCAACTGGTGTATGGTGGTCACTATACCAACTGGTGTATGGTGGTCACTATACCAACTGGTGTATGGTGGTCACTATACCAACTGGTGTATGGTGGTCACTATACCAAC